CCGCTGGTTCCTCATAGTCAGATTCATCCTCGTCGTTCGGAGTTTGACCGTAGGCGATGACGGGGTTAAAGCTGCGCGAAGGGGGGTCACCAGGATGAGCTGTGTGTCCTGGTATAGATAGAGGTGGCCCCGGTGGTCGAGGTGGTGTTTGTCTGTATCCGTTGCCTTGCCTGTTCCGGTTGGATGGCAGATATTCGTTGAGGAGAGCGGTGACTAGATCTCGTGAAGGATCCTGATTTCTCCTCTGTCCGGAATAGTTTCTGTGACCGTAGCTTGACGATGATGTCGGGGTATTTGACTGATTATATGACTCACTGTACGACCGATTTTGTTGGTATTGGTATCTCGGCTGAGGTGGCATTTGTTTCCCGTACAGTTCGGGCGGTAGAGAGCTCCCTGAATGGATTGGAATCGAGGGGTACTCCGTGATGTACCTGTAGTGCCCGTTATCAGCAATCTCCAACGCTGGTACTTTGACTGTATCCCGGAATTCGTCTGTTTCTAGTTGTGTAAGGATCTCTGAGATTTTTCTTAGGTTGTTGCGCCTAATACTTTCCTTCACGCTTGCAGGGGCGTATTCTTTAAACCGTTTAATGGCCTCTGTCTGGAGATGTTTTTCGAGGACTTGTTTTTCAGCTTCATTTTCCCCAGAAATCGTACCCAGACCGAACTGGACCAGTGCTGCCAATCGCTCCAAGAACGATTCCAAGGGTTCATTTTTTAGTTTCAACAGCCCGCGTGTTCTATTCACATAATACGTTAAGTCGTATTGACCTCTAAATCTCTTGATTAGGTGAGTAAGAATAGTTTCTACAGAAAAGAGGGGTTTGTTCGCCACTACGAATTTCGCTAGGGGTAAAAGGCGTTTGAGTATTTGTCTAATATATTCTTCTTTCTTTCCGTCTGCTTTAGGAATGGAGGCAAGATTTGATCTCAACGCGTACTCANTTCAACAGCCCGCGTGTTCTATTCACATAATACGTTAAGTCGTATTGACCTCTAAATCTCTTGATTAGGTGAGTAAGAATAGTTTCTACAGAAAAGAGGGGTTTGTTCGCCACTACGAATTTTGCTGGGGGTAAAAGGCGTTTGAGTATTTGTCTAATATATTCCTCTTTCTTTCCGTCTGCTTTAGGAATGGAGGCAAGATTTGATCTCAATGCATACTCAAATTCGTGCAGAGAGCAGTGCTCATTTGTACCGGAGAATATGGGAATGCTGTTTGCAATGTCTCGGGCTTTGACATATTCTTTGTAACTGGACACGGTTTGATCAGCGTCACCCGGGTCTCCGGGGTAACTGATATTAACGAAGGACGGATTCGCCATTTTATGAAGATAATTTAATTAGTCAATAATTTAAATAATTTTAAATTTTGAGATTAAGTTAATTTGGATTAAGATTCTATGGGATTTTTCCAATAAAATTGGGAAAAGAAAACAAAATTTCTCTTATAATTATTTCAAAGAGAATTTGAATTTTGCAAAGAAAAGTCTAATATTTGAAATTTACGAAGGATTTCTCAAAGCTGAAATTTTAATTTATTGACTTGAATTCAATTGACTAGAATGGGTTTCAAAAATTTCAGAATATTAAAAAGATAAGAGTATTGGAAATTGAGGCGTGGCCTACCGACTGCGCCATGAAATTTTAGCTGTTATGTCCAGAGAAGGATTTTAGCGTCAAATGGACATGTTTTAATTGTCACATTAAAATCAAAGCTAAAATTATTGAATTTTATAATTATCGGACGACGCAAAGTTTTATACTCTTACCTTTTTTTAAAATATAAGGGAAAAAGGGCTTGATTTAAGGATAGGGCTTCAGTTGAGACGAATTTCTAATCAAGATATTTGGAGTTGTAGTGGGAATCAAAT